AAGGGGGGGGGGAGAATGGCAGCCACAAGTGACAAATGAATGCAATGTATATGAAACCATTACAGATGACAGTCCCCTTTGACCACTCCCCCAATCCTATTTTCTTTCCTAAAAGGAACTCCTATCACCATTTTAGTGTGTCTTCCACACCTTTCATTATTGCTTTTATATTAATATACATGTACCCACTGAAAATATATGGTGTTATTTCATCTATGTGTGGAATCATTTGATACATATTATTAGGCGGCTTGAGGCCTTTTTTCCCTCTACGACTTAGAGAGATTGTCAGTAAATACAGATCTAGATCATACTTTTTAATTCCTCATAGTATTCCACAATATGGATGCATCATAGATTTTTTTAGCCATTCATACATTACTTATTTTATTTTCTTCTTTTATTTAAACTTAATTATAATGTAATGAACATGCTTGTATAGGGCTCCTGGAGCTCATGCACAGATGTTTCTCTAGGGCAGATCCTAAGTGGGTCACAATATACACGTTTTTAATTTTAGTAGGGAGAGCCTAACTGACTTAAATTTTCACTGTAGTGTCTGAAGGTATCCATTTCCTCACACCCTCAGCCATCTATTATGTAACTGAACTGCACAAGTTCTGCCCATCTAGTATGAAAGGTATCCTGGTTATGAGAATGCACTTCTCTGGTGACTGGTATGTTTTCTTTACGTTCTATGTGTGGCCGTTTACATTTCCTGTTCTGCTCGTATTCTTTGTCTACTTTTATTGTTTCTATTTTACTTACAGATTCTTGTTTATTCTTTATGTTCTGGGTGTCAATCCTTTATGTGTTATCTTTATAAATAATACAAATACTGCAAACATTTCTTCCAAGTTCTGTTTTATTTGAGCTTTTTATGGCATTCTTTGTCTTATAAAAATTTTAAATTTGATGTTATCAAACTTTTAGCTTTTTACTGTAGATAAAAACTTACATTAAAGATCCTTCATACCACCAAAGAAAAAACTTATTCTGTACATTTTAACTTTTAATACATGCATAGGTTTTCTCCCAATTCTTTAGATTTTTAATCTATCTGAAATAAAGATGTATTATTTTTCCAATAAGTGGTAACTTTTTCTTACACTATTTATTTAAAATATATCCTTTTCACTAATTTTTAAAAGTTTGTTTATAGAGTGAACAAAGAGAAAGTGTGAGAGAGATAGATATTGGTACCTTTGACAAAGTTTCACCCTCCCATAATCTTCCCTCCCAGCCTCCCAGGTACTCAGGATCACAGAATTGCCTGCCCAGTGTGTTCACATCAACCTGGGGCCCAAACCCGGGCCTCCCAGTATTGACTCCAGTATTGCATAGGCATATGCTCCACTACCCTTGAAGTTCTTTCCCACTCTTTTAAAATACCATCTTTTCGGGACCAGCAGATGGTGTAGTGGTTACATCACTAGACTCTCACATGGTTGACTGCATTCGAGTCCTGGACCCAGTGGCTTTAAACTCACGCCGGGTGTGTGCATGCATGCCTAAAATCCCGAGAGGAGAGTGGAGGAGAAGAGATTGCAGCATGGCCATCCCCCCTGGAGGGTGAATTTCTTACTTTTTGTATCTTTGCCTCTCTCTGTCTCTCTGGAGAGCACACGTACCCTTATAGCAAAAATCTCTCTGAAAAAGTAAATTAAATGCCAGCTTTTCATATACTGAATTTCTATATATACATGGTTGTATTAGTCTGTTTGTCTTCTATCTCACCACTGTGCTGTGTAAATTTTAAAAGATGTTCAATTTAATATTTTCTTTTCAGAAAGCTTCCTATTGAACAATTCTATTATTTGACACAGAACAAAAAGAGTGAAGTCTATGGAAATGATTCTTTGTAAGTCTGAGATTTTATTTTCCTATAACATTTTTAAGTGGACATTAGTTATAGGTGAAATAAGAAAGTCCCCAAGTGGGGACTTTTTGAGAAATAACTTTTTTAATAGAGATCATCAATATTATAAATCAAGGCAAACAACAACAGAGAAGGAAATAAACCAAAAACTTAGTTTGTAGCATTTAAAGAAGTTAAGGAAAAATAGGAAATAATGAATAGTAATATTTAAAAGAATTTCTACAGGTCAATTTGATCTATTTCCCTGCTTTTGACCTATTTATTCAATATAACAAGAAGTTTTCTATAAAGCTTTTAAGAAATGTAACTGGCCCTCTATAAATTTTAATCAGAATTTTGTGGAGAGGTGTGTAATGATCATCCATAGACAACTCTTAATAAAAATTATTTCATAAGTCTCTTTTTAGATTAAAAAATACTAATTTTCCCTTGGCTTAAAGTATTATTTTCCAGAATGTTAAATAGTTCTTTACTCTTTGAAATAGTTTGTCATGTCTTTTCAAAAACATACATTTTTATATTCTTCTTTAACCTTAACTATAATGTAATGAATATCCTTCTACAGGGTTCATTGAGCTTATACACAATGTCTCTCTAGAGGAAATTCTAAGCGAATTATATGCATGTTTTTAAATTTTGTAGATGTAGCCCAATGATTTAAATGATTCTTTGTAAGTTTGGGATTTTACTTTCCTATGAAATCAAATAACATTTTTAAATGGACAGTGGTAGTGTCTTAAAGTATCCATTTCCTCATACTCTCAGCCATCTGTATTATATTATCAAACGGTACAAATTTTATCTATACAGTTGGTATTAAGGGTATAGTGGTTATGAGAATGTATCATTTTAAGATAAAAATAAAACAGTGACAGCATTAAAGGCACAATGAAAATATCACTTCTCTGATAAGAATTTGTATCTGTGTATAGTTATAGAATTTAGCCACTAGAGGGAGCCAAAAAGACACAATTTGTGTTAGCCTGGGCTTTTATTCCTTTGGGGTTAGTGAATTTTCCAAAGTGGATGTGGAACATGACAGTGAAATTAATGAACTTATTCAGGTCAAGGAAATGATAATGAGTGTTTATAACTTTCAGTTTACCCTTTCAGTTTTAGAATTTAAAAATGTTTCTTTAACATTCAAAATTATTTTTAACTTTTAAAATTTTGACTCAAATCCATTTTATGCATATGCTTATCAACACTGGAGCAAAATTTGTCACATGAGGACAATTTTAGATGTCAGCTTAGTGTTTTATATATAGAAACCAATCTAGTTATTCTAGATCCCTTCTATTTGTATATTCATTGCCTCTCCACCCCCACCCCCATCTCTCTAACTCAATATAGCTGAAAGACAGGACATGCCTTTTTTTTTAAGTCCATGCCCACATACTTAAAGTCCAAATAAATAAACGTATAATCCAGGCACAGTTGTGCACACCAGTAATCCTAGCTATTTAGGAGGCTGAGACAGGAGGAACATGTCCTTAAAGTCAGCTTAGAGAATGTAGTCAGACCCTGTCTCAAAAATTAAAAAAATTAAAAGTAGAGTCAAACTTCTATGGTTCGTGTGAATTGTGTGTTTATAATACATTATAAGATAATAAAATTACTTGACTTTCATACCATGTTCTAGAGAATATCCTCCTGTGTGGAGGAGCATCTAAAAAATTAAAGTATATTCAATTTTACTGATTTTCACTATCAAACTGATAACATTCTGTTCATCTTTCATGCCTGACATCTTCCAGAGTCTTATTTGCATAGGCTGAAACTAATTATTGAAATCAAATGTAAGGGGATGACTACCCTCATTAGTGGACTTTTTTCCAGGGACACAGTATTTATTATTTGTCATACAGGGTTCAGAGTAATTAGTAAATATACAACCTTGAGATGAACTTGTTCAGGAAAGTCATGCCTGCAGGAACTTGGGCAGTTTTATTCCATCCTCTTTCTGTTGACTAAGCGATGTTTACTATCAGGGGTTATCAGCAACCCTGGGCACAGGGACAAAGCACACACTGTACTTATACATCCTCTCCGAGCAGGCCACGCTCGGGTCGCATTAGGTCATGTCATTGAACCACATGCATGTCAGGCTCCCTCAGGGCACACTGGCTACTGCCTGATGATGACAGCGAATGTCAGTAAGAACCAGAGCTCTCTTATCATTAAAAGTCGCAGCCCCGGTATCTTCACTGCAAGTGAGAAATACGAAAAGGGTGGTGAGCAGGACTGATGTTAGAATAAATGGAGTAGAAAAACTGATCAACAGACAACTGAAATATGAAAATATGTCTCTCTGTCTTGTCAATATTCAGGGTTTCAGAAGATACTCAATATCTTAATGACACTGTAGTTTGTAAATGGGAAGTTTCTAATAGGAATGTAAGTCTTAAAAAGTCCTTAGTATAAAGTAGGATTTGTTTTCTGTTTTTATTCTAGGATGCCCAAACCACCTAATTCAACAGTAGGGTAAGTATACAACTTATATTTACCTTTCCTGATACAATCAAAGGGAAAATATACATAGATATACACATTCTATGTGTCTTAGACAAGAGTGAGAACAAGTGAGACTTTTCATAACTGTTGTTTAATAATTAAAAGGACAGGCTGCTGAAAGTTCAAGGTAACATTTTTATTTCTCTCCTGTTACATCCCCTACTAATCTTTGTGGTTTTTTTGTTTGTTTATTTGTTTGAGTATGCTATAAGGTGTGTGTGCTCACTGGGGGCGGAGGCGGGGAGGGAGAGAGAGAAAAAAAAAGTGAAAAAGCGCCCCTTGGCTGATTTCCATGCTTCAATCCCTTCCCCTCTCCTCCATTCTTCTCTCAGAATTTTGAGATGCTGACACACACTCCCTAGGGTGTTTTTCAAGCCTCTGGGTCAGGACTAAAACCACATAAGTCAGCCATGTGAGATCTAGCCACCTTAAACACCATGCCGCTGTCTGGTCCCAATCTTTTTATTTTTTAATAAACTTCCGATTTTAGTACAGTTTCAGATTAGTTTCTACTAATGGGGGGATATAGTGCAGCATTTCCATGTGCTCCATACCCAGTTTCCCCTGTTATTGACATCATGCATTACTATGGTACATTCGTCACAATTAATGATCCAATATTGATGCATTGCTGTTAAAGTCTATACTTAAGTCAGATTTCCTTAGTTATTCCTAATGTTTTTTTTTTTTTCTGTTCCAGACTCCTGTCCAGGCTTCCACATTACATTTAATAGTCATGCCTCCTTTCGCTCCTCTTAGCTATTGCAGTTTCTTAGGCTTTCCTTGTTTTGATGATCTTGACAATTTTGAGGATTACTGAACAGATACTTTGTAAAATGTCCCCAGTAGGATTTTGACCAGTGAGTTTCTTATGGGTATACTGGAGTAATGTGTTTTGAGGAGGAAGACCACAGGGGTACAGTGCCATTTTTATCACATCGCATCAAGGGTACGTGCTATCAGCGTGGTTTATCAGTGTTGATGGTGACCTGGATCATCTGGCTGCGGTAGTGTTTATCAGCCTCACTGTACACTTTACTTTTTTTTTTTTTTTTTTGGAGAGATTTTCACTGTAGGGCACGTGCGCTCGCCAGACAGACAGAGAGAGACATAGAGACAGAAAGCGAGAAATCACCCCCCAGGGGGGATGGTCACACCACAATCCCTTCTCCTCCATTCTCCTCTCAGGATCTTGGGCACGCACGCACACGCGCCCGGCGTGAGTTTTAAGCCACCAGGTCCGGGACACGAACCACGGTCGACTACGTGGGAGTCCAGCGACATAGCCATTACGCTAACTGCTGGTTCCCAACACTTTACATTTTTGTGCCTCCTTTCCACACTGTACTCTTTAGAAGTAAGTCATGTTGTGTAGCCCACACTTAAAACCTCCAGAATTATGTTCTACCTTCTTGAGAGCAGAATACTTATATAAATAATTTGTCATTCTTCAGCATGGGACATTTACCTATTCTACTTTTCTTTGTTTATTGCATCGGTTATTTATATCAGTATTAATTTGCGGGTGGATATTTATTTTTTGCTTTGATACTTGTGCAGTCATACAATACCACATTATTTTGTTATTTAAATAGGCCATGAGAAGTTCTTTCAGTTCACGCCTATATTCCTTCAACACTTCCCCATCATTATGGAGATTTTGGTCTTGGTTTGGTTCTTTTTTTTATACTTAGAATTTTTTTTTTCTTTTTTAGCTTTCTGATGCTATAAGATACTTCAGGATTATCTGTATATTTTTTTGTCCCACTCCTAGTACCAGCCATGATTCCAAGAAACCCTAATTCCTTTTCTTGGAGACTGGTATCAGAAACCAAGATGTTAGTAATAGGGGTTCTCAGTGCTACTAGAATCCTCTGTCAATCTTAACTGAACATACTAAACTGACATTTTAAAGTTATGTTTCAGTTAAAGCAAGGACCTCTTCAAGAAGCTGTTAAAATTAAGGTCTGGGGTTTTTTGGGTCTTAAAAAGAACTATGCAGGGAACCAGCAGTTAGCGTAATGGTTATGTCACTGGACTCCCACGTAGTCGACCGTGGTTCACGTCCTGGACCCGGTGGCTTAAACTCACACTGGGCGCGTCTGCGTGCGTGCCCAAGATCCCAAGAGGAGAATGGAGGAGAAGGGATTGCGGCGTGACCATCCCCCCTGGGGGGTGATTTCTCGCTTTCTGTCTCTCTGTCTCTCTCTGTCTGGCTGGCAAGAGCACACGCCCTATAGCGAAAATCTCTCAAAAAAAAAAAAAAAAAAGAACTATGCAAAAAACCCTTGTTTTGTACTTTTCAAATTCTCTTTGTAAGTGATATGAAAAATAAAGCCTTTTGTGCTGGGATATAGTTCTCAGATTCACTTTTCTTTCTTTCTTTTTCTTTTTCTATGTCAGAGGGCATGTGTGCATCTGAGACAGAAAAAGAGGGCCCCACAACAGGGCCTGGTCACACTGCAATCCTTTTCCTCCAATTCTCCATCTCATCAGGATCCTGGATGTGCACATGCCTGGCATGTAAGCCATTAGGGCTGGGACTCAAACCCTTGTCAGTCATGTGGGATCCAGCTTCAGATGCCAGTCCTTGGATTCACATTTCTGTCTGTAGTCCAATAAGTTCCAAAGTGGAGGCTAGAAATCCAAGATCAAAGTATAAGTAGGACTGATTTCTTTTGAGGGCTGTCAGGGAGAATATGGTCTATGCCTATCACCTGGCTTCTGGTGGATTGCTGGCAATTTTTGGTATACTGTGGTTTATAGGCTGTGTCACCCTGCTCTCTTCACGTGGCATTCTCCTTATATGCTTGTCTGTGTCCAAATTTCCCTTTTTTATAAGGACTCTACTATACCGAATTAGAGACATGCCCTGCTGTAGTATGATCCCATCTTAACTAATTATATCTGCAATGACCCTATTTCCATACAAGGCCACAATATGAGACCTTAGGAGTTAGAACTTCAACATGTGGACTTAGGGAAGAGACACAATTCAACCTATAACGCTGGGCTTGCTTTTTTCTCCCTCATTTTTAATTATAAATGATATTTCTCTATTCCATGAGCTTTCTAATCACAATGTTCTTCCAGTTTTGACAGCTCTCACATGTTGTTTGTTTTACTTGTTCTAGTTGTCTGTGTGATTTTAAAAAATTATATCACTGTGGTATTCTTTTTTTTTTCCTTTAGTATACTAGCTCTTCTGGGGTTTTTGACTTCAAAACAATATTGTGTAAATAAACAAGCAGTATATTTTTGTTGAAATATTGCTTGAAGAAACAGATGGCTTGAGTCAAAAATTCAATCCAAGATGCTTAGTGATCACTTTATACTGCTGAAGCTGAATGCCTAAATGATTCTGTAAGATTAAGTACTGAGATCCTCTTAAAACCAGAAGGAAGAATTAGAAGTAACTAGAAATGCTTTCTATACCATTCTGAAAATACAAAATTTATATTTATATATATATATTTCTTGATTTGTATTTTTATACCAATTTATGAAGGTTACTCATTAAAAATTAGGTATGAATAGAAACATAGAACTTGGTTATAAATACCAGATACAGTGTGGGAAGAGAGTGGGTGAAGGAGGAAGTCTGAGGAAAAACATTAAGGAGAAAAATAGGCAAGGTATTTATGGGACAAAGAAATGGGTTATTATCTGTTGAAGATAATGTGTATAGTATTCTCAACTGGACTGGGGAGAAATGTGTACATATTGGAATATTCATTTTACAAGCTAAGTGACATATGTGATTGAATGTATAAAAGAAATTGAAATGAAAAATATATTTTAAAAAAGAATTAGGTGAGGCCAGCAGGTGGCATAGTGGTTAAGGCGGCTGGACTCCCACATGGCTGACCATGGTTCGAGTCCTGAACCTGCGGCTTGCTTTCTCACTTTCCTTCACTCTCTCTCTCTCTGTCTCTCTCTGGTCAACTTCAAAAAAATAAAATTAAAATAATGACAATGAGTAAAATTAAATAAAATAATTATTTTTAAAAAGTAATTAGGTAAGATTTATTTTTTAATTAAATTTAATTTGATTTGTCTAGAAAAATTAAGAAAATTTTGTATGTTTTATGGTATATATTCCACTAGAATACCAACTCCATGAGTACAGGGACTTTGCCCCACTGTTATATCACAACGAATATAACGGTGTATCCCTTTGTTGCTTTTCCACAAAAAATTATCTGAATATATATTTTCTGATTAATTGTTTTAATCATACTTTCTTTTGTGTCTTTTGTTTTGCTTATTCAATACATCTTAGGGAAATCTGCTCACCATATCCAGTTGAACATCCCTACCATACACACATCTCTCATGGTGCCATGTTCCCAACCTTTACGTCACCTAAGGACATCTACACTGGCATTAAAGCCCGCAGCCAACAGCCATTCCCTCCCACCATGCCAACTAAAGCTTATGATACAACTGTTTTGAAGACAAGAGGTAAAACGTGATTTGGAATTAGAACTATCTTAATTATTTTTATTACTGGACTATATTAAGAAAAAGAAAGCAAGGAGTGCAAGGGACTCAAATCATAAGGTTGTGACCCATTGGTAGATTAGGGAAGTTATTCTATGACAATACTTTACAATCAGCTGGAACCCCACCACAGACTCTTTCTGGTCAACTTCAAAAAAAATAAAATAAAAATAATGATCATAGACTCTATACAGACTCCAATATTTCTGCTTTACACAGAGCCTCCCATGTTAGAATCAGAAGCTAAAACTTGTAGAACTGCTTGTTTTTACTCTACCTGTATTTTCTGTTTTTATTTCCTTCAGCTTTGTATTATATTTAGCTTTTAAAAATTCCACCCTAGTTGGAACCAGCAGTTGATATAATGGCTATGTCACTGGACTCCCATGTAGTCGACCGCAGTCTGAGTCCCAGACCTGGTGGCTTAAACTCACACTGGGCACATGTGCCTGCGTGCCCAAGATCCCAAGAGGAGAATGAAGGAAAAGGGACTGTGGCGTGGCCATCCCCCCTGGAGAGTGATTTCTCGCTTTTTCTCTGTCTCTTTCTATATTTCTGGTGAGTGCATGTGTCCTACAGCAAAAATACCTCAAAAAAAAAAAATTCCACCCTAGCTCAGGTGATAAGCACAGGGACAATATTCAGTTCAGATCCTTAGAGTCTGGACATGAGTCCAAGAGTGGTGATTAAATGCAAAGAGCCCCACTAAAATAAGACTCAGAAAATAATGAGAGCAGCTTTTTCAGTTTCTGTTGAATGCCCTGGAACATGTTCTCCCTAGAGTGTTTGTAGATATGTTCTATAAGAAAGGATGGTGATCCCCTACACCAGACATGGAGTCTGTCCCACCCTAGACACCAAGTCCTTGCTAAGGAGACTATGCAAGTGTGAAAACAGAGGGGAGATCTCTAGAGAAAGAATGAAGATCCTAGAGAAAAAGTTTCTGAAGGTATCAGAAAAGGCACATAGTAGGCAAAGGAAAATATTTGTTGAATGAGTTTAGGCCATGAGGTAGGTAAAACTCAAAAATTGTCCTAGAATTCTGTATGTGAATATTTGGACCAAAATGCAAGTATAGAATACTACATCATGGGGATCAATCTCTGTATAATAGTAGACAATAACATTCTGAAAGATAGTATAATGGAGTGTTTAAGAGCATGGACTCTGGAGTTAGACAACATGAGTAGGGTTCTAGTTCTGCCAATTACTCACTATAGACCATAGGAAAGTGTCTTAACTCCCCTGCCTCTGCTTCCCAATCTGTAAAATGGAAATATTAGTGTCTACTTCATATTCTAGAGTAGGTGTTAGCAGTTATTATTTTTATTACCCTCCTATCATATAGTGACTTCAGTGTGGGTGCTCCATGCTGACCTTTTCCATTACCTCTCATACCCGTCAGCATTGATAAAAAGTAGTGAAAGCTGGATCAAGTATATTCAGTGGTTAATGTTGAGTGTCATAATTAAGAACTTCAAAAAGGTTGTGGAAAACTGAATTAATGCACACATTTATTTTGATGAAAAAAATGTTTTTAATCCATGAAGTTTTTTCCATAATATGCATTTTCCATGAACCTTTTGAAGACCCCTGTTTTTTGGGGGAGTAAAGAAAAGATATATTGTGTAAAAGAGCTACAGGTATTATAGCTGAACAATTGGAATATTAGGATCTAGTTAGCTACCTTGCCAAAGTAAATTTCTTTTGTTTAAAATCCTGAATTAAATAATTTCTGAAGATATATGAAGTGTATATGGTTAGCAAGATATTACAGACACATGTGTCAAACTCATAAAAATACTTTTCAGAACAACTACAGATAAGGGACTGAAGAAACAAGTTACCTTTTAAACCTTCTGCTCTTCTAGGCATCTACCTCTCCCTCACCTGGCTTTCACTCTCAGGGAGTTTTTAAAAGATGACTGTACTCCAAGAAACCTTATAGACAGATCTTTCCAGGACCTATACTTCACTTGATTTCTGTTCTTGCACTTATTTTAACTCTGTCAATAGAAATGAGTAGCCGATAGGGATCAACAGATGGCATAATGGCTACATTGCTGGACTCCCACATATTCGACCACGGTTCGAGTCCTGGACTCAGTGGCACATGTGCATGTGTGCCCAAGATCCTGACAGGAGAATGGAGGAGAAGGGATTGCAGGTGATTTTTCACTTTCTGTCTCTGTCTTTATGGCAAGCACACACGCCTGATAGCAAAAATCACTCTAAAAAAAAAAAAAAGGAAAGAAAGAAAGAAATGAGTAGTAGGTAGGTTAAGGGTACAGCTCTAGAACCAGACTACCTGAGTTTGAATTCCACCTACTGTCTGTGTGATCTTAGACAGATTGCCTATTCTTTCTTTGCCTCAGTTTCCTCATTCATTAAAGTGGGAATAATACCTCATAGCAACGTTGTCTTTTAAAAAAATGCATGTGATGATATACCAGGAAACATGAAAAAATTCACACACAAAAAGATATCTAAACCCATACATACATTTTTCATAATACACATTTTCTATGAACCCTTTTGAAGCTGCCTGTATAAAACACTCAGTGACTGGCACACAGTAAATGTTCAATAAGCACTAGCCTTTGTTCTTATTACATATGAGAATAGGTGTTCAAACATTCTTTTTTTTTTTTCTTTTTTCAGAAAGAGATTTTTGCTACAGGGCACATGTGCTCTCCTGAGAGACAGAAAGAGACTGAAAGAAAGAATACATTCCCTCGGGGGGATGGTCACACCACAATCCCTTCTCTATTCTCCTCTTGGGATTTTGGATATGCACGCACACACACCTGGCATGAGTTTCAAGTCTCAAAGTCTGGGGCTCTAACCATGGTCAGCCATGTGGGAATCCAGCTACATAACTGCTATGCCATCTGCTGGTCCCCAGAACATTCTTTAACTTATAACTTAGCTTGAGACCAGAAGAAGCTATGCTATGTTTGGCAAAGCTTTTCAAATTACAAACCAAAACCCAAGAAGTTGTCTGTATTCTTTAAAATGCTCACTTTCAAATACTTTTTGATAAGCAAATACTCTCTCTGTTTTGGAAAACTTAATGCTTAGGTATAGAAAAGCCAGGAAAGATAATATAGCAACGCATTTGCTGAGCCTCCAAGAGACCAGAAAGAGGATCCAGGAAGATTTAGTATTTACCTAAGGATCTCCCTCATTAACAAGAAAGGTGAAGTACTAGTGTCCCCTTTTACTGCTGAGTGCAGCAAGGTTAAAGACTCATCGTCAGTTTGTGAGGCTCACACACTTGCTACTCACAAGTTCAACTATAATTACATAGCAAACGTATGCCAGCTTCATCTCTACTTTATATTATCTCATTTCCATTTATTGGATTCATAAATCCCATCAGTTAAAAGACTGTTCTTTATTCACGTAACATAGCCTTTCCTGAAATTTTCAGGTAATCCTTACAGATATGAACTGCTTGACTTTCCCATGGATTCGAAGAAGAAAGCATTGAGTTGGCCAGGTCAGGGTGTATATTATGATGTAAGTATCTCTTAAAATGTGTGTGTAAAGGGAAGTAAAAATATTTTTACCCAGTAAGTTCACAGAAATGCAAAAGATGGATTGGTTTTATTTTCTGGAGCATGAAAAATCTGAGATTTTGACCATGATTCATAATTTTTAAATTTTCTTAGCTGATTTCATGTACTTTTGGCAGTTATGGAATATTTCCACAATTACAAAAAAAAAAGTTCCCTTCAGAAAAAGTAAAGAACTGTGTTTCACACACTGTGTATTCCCCCAAACCTGTTCTTATGATTCGTAAGATACCAAGTAATTCCAAATACACATAGAGAAAATGTGAGATTTTCAGAAGATTTACAAGCTTCTATCCCACCAGAATCGTAACTGATCACTGCACTCAGCACTCTCACCAGGGCCTTTTCTACTGCCACTCTCTTCCCTCTGAGATCTCTTCCCACTGACAAGCTAATTGGAGATTCCTTTACCTTTTACAATTGGCAAACATAAATAGGTTTTAATACTTGACTCCTCTTGGTCGTTTATGTTATTACTCGCTCAAGTGGCTAAAGACTTTCTCTATGTTTCAGGAACTTGAGCATCTGCTTTTAACTTTTACAATATGGAAATAGTTCTTAGCATAAAATATATCTTATAATCATACTTTTTATTTAATTTTATTTATTATTATTTTTTAATTCGACCAGAGAGAGAAAAAGGAAAAGCAAGAAATCAAGCCACCAGGTTTGGGATTCAAACCACAGTTGACCATGTGGAAGTCCAGCACCTTAACCACCACCTCACTTGCTAACCCCTGTAATCATCTTTTGAATGAGATGATACAATCACAAAAGTCAAGTGCCATAATCCTCCCTAACCTTGGACTATTTCAAAGGTTTTACAAAACCCTTTTCAAAGCCTCACTGAGCTTATTTACTAACACAATCAATGTTCATTACAATCTAGTTTTCCTTAAACCTAAATATTTGGATGGACTCTTGGCTTCCCTTTGAAAAAGCACTCACTTGTATCATCCTTACAAAGAGCAGTATGTCTTCTTAAGCCATGTTCCAGCTTTCTAATCTAAAAATGTCCATTCCCCTCCTAGAGATACAGTCCTCATTCCTGGGATAGTTCAGTCTCTCCACAACAGCACCCCTAATCCACACCCATCCTCAAAAGGCCATGAATTTAGTTAGCACACAGCTCCTTTGGAAAAGTGTCATCAAATAACTGGAAGCTTACAGTGCACATCTCCATTGCTACCACCACTGTGTACCCTTCCTCCCATTAGTCCGAGAGACAAGCAGGGTATCCAGAATGGAAAACAAAATGCATCCACTCACCTTTACAATCCATGATAACTATATCCCATGTCGCATCCTCCATGTTTCCTCCATTCTGTCTCAGGCGGACTTCTCCCCAACCCTCTCTTCTTTCAATACTCTCTCATCCTGACCAGATGTCAAAAAAAAAAAAAAAAAAGGAAATTCCCATCTCTAATCTGTTTCCTCTCTCTCTTTCTCTTCATTTCATTTGTAAATGAACAAATTTTCTGATCATTGTATCTCAGTGTAAAAATGGTCCTAATACAATAGAATTAAGTGAAATATGACCAAATAAAGAACCAATATCAGCAAATGCTAGCCTCTCCAAAGAGCAACGTGGTCTCCACAGTAAAGCTTCTTTGGCTCCCTGGTTAAATGTGACTCATTCTCGGGAGCTGGCAGGTGGCGTGGTAGTTAAGGACACTAGATTCTCACATGGCCGATTGAGGTTTGAGTCCCGGATGCTCACTCACTCTCTCTCTCTCTCTCTCTCTCTCTCACTCTCACTCTGTCCCTCTCTGGTCAAATTTAAAAATAAATAAATAAATAAGGTTAAATAAAATAAATCTTTTTTAAAAACAGCCTCATTCCCATAACTTGAGATTTAAAAAAAAATTATTGTTTTGTTTAGTACAGTTGTATTATTTTCTGTTATTTAAATGGCAATATGTGGAGTTTTGATGCCTAGCACAATGCCCTCAGAACTTTGCACACAGTTTTGCTTACAATAGGTATTCAGTGAATGTTTTTTTTAAATGAGTTATGAGTTGCATACATTTTGTTGGCTATGCTGGAAAGGTAAGCCACAACTTATATAGCATTATTCCTGAGACATATTCCAAATTCAAAATGACTAACATTACTCCTTTGTAGGCTGGAATATCAGCCTAGAAACCAACATCTCAAAAACTAGAATTGCTTCCTGCCTTGTATTTACCTTCCATATCAGATACAGACTTTACCTATGCATACATTTAACCAAATAATACCTACTGAGGGAATAATTGTACCAGTCCTCTCTCATTATCCTTTCAGAATGGAATAACCTTAACCTACTGAAAACTGTCCAGCTTCTCACTCTCAAGTATTTCCTTCCTGGCTCTTTAATCCTTCCCCAAGACACCACAGGTTACAGTAAAATTTCATATTTCCTATTTTCTTCTTCATACCCTTGACTGCATTTCCGTAGAACACTGCTGTTAGTTCAACCAATGTAAGACACAAAATTAATTCAGTCTCTTAAAATAGTATTTTTTAAAGTCATTTTCAAGAAATTGATTTGCTTTGCAAATCATTAAAAAGATAAAACTTTCTTCACCACTGAATAAGGAAGCCACATATTTCTTAAAGGTGTATAGGAGTGGTTATTTTATACTTCTTCACACAATTTCCAAGTGCCTTTGTCCATAAGTATTCTATATACATAAAATGAAGGTTACTCCAATCTCACAGACCTGCCAGGAGCAGCCTCGCTGGTAGAGTCGTCCATACTTTAGAGAGCCCAGCTCTGGCCCTCCTCTGGCTGTGACCTCCCTATGGGACAGGGAGTTCACAGGCACAAGAGTATATGTCCATCTGGAGCTCATGCGCCTCTGTATCCCATTCCAGACCATGACCTTAGAACACAGAATTCCCTGACTAAATAGCTTTAAACCTAGTCTCTGGACCTTCTTGGAGTCTCTTCTTCAGGTTTGTCCTCCCGAAGTTGACAGTGATGCCCAGCCAGTTTATACCTTTAAGCCAAGACGTGGCTATTTGCTAGAAATCAGGGTGATGGGTGATTGGAACTGGTCAGAAGAATGCAGTAGGAGTGTTGAGTCCAGGAGACAGTAAATGGCTCTTCCTAAGCCTCCATGTCCCAAAATGTGGAGTAGTCCAAGAAGTTTAAATTTGTACTTGGTTTTTCAGGCATCAAAGTAAAAGAATGGGATGTATTTTGTTTAGCAATTTATTTACTCAATTAATAAATTAAACAATTTAGACAAATGGAACATTGACCTTCATTGGTACTTTAACCCAAAGCCATATGAATGTTGCGGGTGGAGGGGGTTGCAGGGGGGCTCAACTGAAAGGGCAATAAACAGCATTAGTTTTATGCTTTCTACCACCATCCATACCTCTGCTCCTACAGTTCCTTTGGTCTCGGCATCTATGCATGTCGTACAGGCCCAGTTTCTGCAGTATCATATAACATGGCCTCTTGTCTCCTCCTTCCCTTCCTGCTCCCAGTCTCAGTACCCTCATTCAGCTGGAATCAATCTTTTCCTTCTCCAAACTTCCAAACAATTTTGACTTAACCTCTTTTGTAAGTTTCATCTTATAGACATTTGTGTTCATGACTAATCATTGGTGTTCATGACTAATCTCCCCTATTAGCCACTATGTTCTTGCATGGCAGGATTTGTTTCTGATCCACCCTTATTTTCTGCTACTACCATGCACATCAGGTGCTCAATAAATATTGAGTAGCATCAGTCTGAAAAAAAAGGTAAACTTCTAAGTAAACAAAATTCATTCATTCATTCATATTTATATGAATGCGTCTTTTGAAAATGTAAAATAAACTCTATTGTATATCTGGAGAATGAAAGTATTAGAATTTGAGTGACTTAATATTCATCAGAAATTCATAAAAGGCATCAAATGATTTCATTTTGGGCAGAGAAGAAAAAGTAGGAGGCATATAAATTTGGCTAAACTTAGCCAAAAAGCACCTTGAAACCTTTTATATCTCTAAAAAAAAGTTACTGTTTATAGAGTGTTCATAAGGACATTTCTCTAATGTGCATTATTAGAGTCCTTGCTAAAAGACCTTTAAGAAGGATATTATCATTTATGTTTTTAGTTTGCAAGAGGGCATGTGTGATCACCAGAGACAGAAAGAGATGGAGAGGGAAAAAGCATTGAAGAGAGAAAGAGACAGAGAGAAAGCCAGGAGAGCATGGTTATGCACAATCTCTTCTCTCCATTTCTTCATCCTGTCTGGATTTAGGGTACACACACACCTTGTGTGTTTTTCGAGCTGCTGAAGCTAGGATTCAAACCATGTGGTTGGCTATGTGGGAATCAGCTCCCTTAAACAGTAGGCTGTGGGGCCAGCCCAAGATCTTAACCATTTCTTTGATAAAATATTTCATTTAATAATTAAAGTTGGCTGAATTAACAAATATATGGCTTGTTCATTTAAATGGCCACTGTTACAGGATATTATTAGGATCATCAGAAAGTCTTGATGTATTTTTCTGTTTTTCTATGCATAAATGTCATGACTTTCCTGATGACCCAAGAGTGAGTAATGAAGAATAAAACATGGGAAGCCAGCAAGTAGTGTGGTGGTTAAGGACGCTGGACTCCCACATGGCTGACCATGGATCAAGTCCCGGACCTGGCAGCTTGCTTTCTCTCTCTCGCTCACTCTCGCTCTCGCCCTCACTCTCTCTCTGTCCCTCTCTGGTCAAATTAAAATAAATAAATAAAGTTAAATAAAATAATCCTTTTAAAAAAAGGAATAAAAAACAGTATCTGATTTCAGCCTAGAATTCCCTTTGCCCCTTTCCTGCTTAGTGAGTCAGTCCTTACTTAGATGAATTAATAACAATAATCTATATTTCACATTCTAGTTTCCTAAATGTGTTGAGAAAAATAAGCCAGTGTTCTACCCAAAACCTCCTAAAACTTTTGCTCCTAACACCTCTTTAAATTCATGGGACCCTATTAACTCTGCAAGAGAAGCCAACATACAAAAAAATCTTGAGAGGTCCCACTGGATCACTTCGTATACTCATGACTTTACAGGTATGTGTTCACTTTAATACAAGTAAAAATTAGAACAGAATAGGAAGAAGCTTATAAGCTTATTCCTTATAAGTTTTTGTCTTCTAATATTTTTTTTCTGTTTCTCAATCTAAGTACTAATAGGAATTAAGGTGGGTAGTCAATTTCTCTTAATGGGTAACTGGGAAGTACAGTTGGTTTTCTATCAATAATTATATTGCAAAGCGAATGGGCATGTTTTTTTATAAAGGATCATTTAAGTGTCATTCATAGTTTATTCTAACAAAATAATATAACGATGTTTCCATTAAGGTCTGGGACCCATGAATCCCCTTGAACTGGATGATTACCATGAAAAGGAGGTAGCAGAGTTAACTGGACAGATAGGATTTGACCCAGAGCCTGTAAGTAATTTGAGCCTACTCTGTTATTTAGGGGGGAGTATATCCAGGTGTTGGGTTCCTACCAGCTTTGTCTACTTTTAATTTGTGTCATGAATGTTGTCAGCAAAGCTAGCAAAGGGAATATTTTCTCATTTTTAGAAGCTAATTCTGAACTGATCTGAGCTGGTCTGAATATCCTTATCCACTATTTGGAAAAAAAAGCAATGTTTCTCTCTTCATGGTGCCTTTTTTTTTTTTTTTTTTTTTAAGCAATGGGTGCACTGTATCATTATTACTCAAATACGAAGGAATTAGTTTTCGGAAGAATAAGGTTTAACTAGTAATTTAATGATATTCTTATTAAATTCCATGGATTTTTGCGTATTTGTGTATCCTGTACATTACCATTGCTTTTGAAGAGATAAGGCTTCCACCTGATGCCCACAATAATTAAGTTGACTGAATTACAGTCAAAAGCCAACAAATTCTCTGCAAATATCAATAGACTTAACAGATTATGTGAAATGGCCCAAAAGAAATGATCAGGTGATGGGACCAATAGTTGGCTGGGTAGTTAAGGTGCTGAATCCCAAGTGGCTGACTCAACAGTTTGAGTACTGGACCTGGCAGTCTGAAAAACACACCGGGTACATATGTGTATGTACTCAAAAATCTTGAGAGAATGGAAGAGAAAGGATTGTGGCATGGCCATCCACCATGAGGGGTGAGTTCACACTTTCCTACTCTCTGTGTCTCTCTCTGGCAAGCACAAGTGCCCTATGGCAAAAATGTGATGAAGAAAAAGAAAAAATAAATGCTTAAGGGGCCAGCAAGTGGTGTGGTGGTTAAAGGCGCTGGACTCCCACATGGCCGACCACAGTTCAAGTCTCGGACCTGGTGGCTTGCTTTTCCACTTCCCCTCTCTCTCTCTCTGTCTCTCTCTGATCAAACTGAAAAATAATAATGATATTGATAATAAAGTTAAATAAAATAATTATTTAAAATAAAAATAAAAAGGAAAAATAAATGCTTAAGTCCTTTAATGAGAGAAGGTATATTCTGTTGGCTTAATTATGTAAATGAAATCACCTAATAATATACATATATATTGTTTTATTTAAGACCTAAATTTTACTGCCTATTACTATGAATTTTAATATTAATATTAATATTAAAATTTTCAAAGATGTAAATTGTGGAAAGACATTTAAAAAGACTGTAAGGGGTAAGCCCATGGTGCAGTGGTTAAGGTGGCTGAATCACACCTAGCTGTCTGAACAGTCAGGCATGTATGTGTATGTGCCCAAATTCCCTAAAGGAGAGAGAAATGGAGGAGAAAGGACAGCAGCATGATCATGCCCCATACAGAGTGCTTTGTGGCTTTCTCTGTCACTCTCTGGCAAACATACACACCCTCTGGTATAAATTTTTAAAACACAACTGTAAGATTATTATAATAAGGACTATTTCTAGACTGAGCTTTTACACTGGCTTCAGCATTTTCTATGGTGATATAAAAATCATACCACCAGAAGTGTCTATAAACTATGCTTTATCATTCACTGAGAAATATTTTAGCTCTTACTTAAAATGAGCATTCTCTAAGTCTAGAAAAAATTATACATTTGTCAGACATTGTAAGGTGTGTTCAAAAACTGTCCAGATTTCCACAAATTTGACCCTGTAAGTTCTAGCCTTCAGGAAGCAGCTTTATTATTTCTACAAAGAAATACATGTACAGTTATGCAAAGGATGCTTGCCAGGTATAATATATGCAAAATTATTGTGCAAATAAATCAGCATTTAAATATTCATTAATAAGATAAAATATGCCTAAAATAGTTGAAAACTGGAAAGATAGTTTCAATGAATCTTGCTGGCTCTAACTAAAACATAAATAATGGATCCCGGAAAAGCACATTTTATTAATAATATTAGATGTGTTTTGTTGTAATAGAATAAAATGAAGGTACTAAAAACTGCTTCTTGCACAAAGGGATACTGTCAAAGTATGACATGATAAGCCCTATCCTATTTTGCTTATGACAAATTTAACAAAACATATCAAAAAGCTGGGGATTTTCCTTTTCTTCCTAGTATTTGCTCAAACTTGATTATCTAAAGAGTATAACCAATTTATTAGTAACTTAGTACAAGAATTTCCCCAACTACAAACACATTAGGTTCCAAAACAATGTTCCTACCCTTTTTTTTTTTTTTTGATAATTTCAAGCTACAGTTATTTTTTTTTTCATTTTCTTTATCTTGGCTGTTAATTCCATCATAATAATGCATATATTCTTTTTTTCTTCAATATATTATTATAAAAATTTTCAAACATACAGAAAATCATTTTGAAGTTAACATCCATATACTTACCACCTAGATTCTCCCATTAAGTTTACTATACTGTTTTATCACATATGTATTCTTTCCAACCCTCTAACCATCCATCAATATACTTTATCTTTTTGTGCATTTTAGAGTAAATCATGGACATTAGTATTCTTCACCCCTAAATATCCAGCATTCACATCAGTAGCCAGAGTTCAATATTTAGTTACAGTTTGTTTCTAAGGTGAAATACACAATCAATGAAACTTTATGAATCTACAATGTACACTCACTGAGTTTTGACAAATACATACTTCTTTATAGCCCAACCCCCCATCAAAACATAGATTAGTATCATAATTCTAGAAAGTTCTTCATATGTCTTCCCAGTCAACTCCTCACTCTTCACCCTATCTATTAATAGCACTTTGAATACATTCACTACTTTTGCAATTGCCAGACATGATTGGGTTCATATTTATAAAATGTCTTAAAAACAAGCACAAAAATGACATCTCAGAAAATACAGCATGTCACCCACCTCAGCATCACCTGAGTTGCATGTTAAAAATACAGATTCTGGGGGCTAACAGGTGGTGTGGTGGTTAATGCACTGGACTCCCACATGGTTGACAACAGTTCTGGACCTGGCGGCTTGAAAATCATGCCAGGCATGTGTGCGTGTATGCCCAAAATCCCAGGAAGAGAATGGAGGAGAAAAGATTGTGGTGTAACCATCTCCCCATGGGGTGGAGGGTATGGTTTCTAACTTTTCCTCTCACTGTCTCTCTCTCTCTCTTTCCTTGAGTGCATGTACCGTATGGCAAAAACATTTTTAAAAAATAGGAGGGCCCCTTCTGGTTGAAATTTAAGTAACTACACATAACTGTTAATGCCTTTTAATGATGATAAGCAGAAGTTATATTCCAGTGATTTCTTTATATTTTTGAAAAGCTTAAAGGCATAGAATTCTGGGGGCAGCAGATGGTGTGGCAGTTATCTCGCCGGACTCCCACTTAGCCGACTGTGGTTCAAGTCCCAGACCTGGTGGCTTTAAAACACACTGACTACATGTGCATGCATGCCTAAGATCCCAGGAAAAGGATAGAGGAGAAGGGATTGTGGTGTGGCCATCCCCCCACCACAGCAATGATATCTCACTTTCCCTCTCACTGTGTCTGTCTGTCTGTCTGTCTCTCTCTCTCTCTCTCTCCAGCAAGCACAAGCACCTTAAGGCAAAAACCTCTAAAAAAAAAATGAATGAATAATAAAAGTATAGAATTCCTACACTTCTCTAGCCAAATTTTAAAATACGTCCTTTCTATGAATATATTGACTAAAACCAATAAAGGAGAAAATCACATTTATTGGAACCAAATTTCAATATCTTTAAATAAGACTAAAGAACACTATGATATGTAATTTTATTTTTTTAAGAGAGATTTTTGCACGTATACCCTACAGAGAGACAGAAAGCGAGAAGTCATCCTTCAAGGGGGATGACAACACCGCAATCCTTTCTCCTCCATTTTCCTCTCAGGATCTTGGGCACACACGCCTGGCATGAGTTTCAACTCTCTGGGTCCAGGACTCGAACTGCAGTTGGCCATGTGGGAGTCCAGTGACATCACCATTACAGCATCTGTTGGTCTCTACAATATGTACTCTTATATGTATCTTCTGTTTACTCAGACAGTAAAAATGGGTGTAACTTTTGACCTGCCATTGTGGCAATATCCTTATAATGTGATATGTATTAACTGATTGACTTTTCTCCTTTTTATCCACCATCACAGCAAGAAAAATTCCATCCTGCCTTAAAACCCTCAAGACCGTTAGAAGGACGAATTGCCCGATTGATTCAGAATCAACGTTCTCTGGAGGCAATTGTCCAGCAAAGACCACCTCCCTGTCCAGATTGTACCCCTAGAGTTTTGTGTACTTTTCATACCTTTGTACCCAGTTCTACAGAAATAATGGCACTTCGTGATAATAGACCATCTGGTATGACCTATGAAAACCAGAATATTGAAGAAAAGCTTAAGGAAGAACAAAGCTTGCTGTCTACCTATGCACTCCCACCTTGTTACCCAACGAAAAGCCTAAGTAGCATTTATGATATAAAACCATTTCCAAAAATCACAGATACTAAAAAGTCAGAAGATTTATATTGGAGACAGCTGTCATTAAAACCCCAACCCATACCTTACTGTAAATCAAACCATTACATGCACTATGGACACTTTAAACCTGCCATGCATGTTCAGTATATGTATCAAAACCCTGCTAGACTTAGTAAATCTAGTATTGTACAAAATAAATCAGACATGGACTCTTTCACTTTAGAACACTTTTTAAGTAAACCAGAAGAACGGTTGGGTTTGAACATGGAGTGCAATGAAGAAACAAAACCTATTCTGGGTTGGATTCCTAGAGCTGGAGTAGCCAAGCCTCAGACCAACCTGCTGGAGCTTATGAACTCTTTTTCAAAAACTGGTGCACAAAAACGTTTCTATAAATCGATTCTAGAAGACCATAAAGACCTCAGGGATAAAGGACATTCAGGGATGAGACACCAATTCTATGGCCATAATTCCCATTATTTCTATAATTGAAATACTCATTCTTCCTTTCAAAATCCAGTTTCTTGGAAGAAAAGAAAAAAATAACAGAATTTTCATGTTTTGGATTCTGTTTTCTAGATTAAGCCATTAATGACCTTATTAATAAGGTTTATGTTTTCAGGAATTTAGTTAGGATTTGGCCAGAGGAAGCCAGAAAATGTGATGTTCTGACATCTTGAAACATTTAACAACTTGGCAATAAAATATTAGAACTACAAAAATTACCCAAATCATGAAATACAATGTGTACAACAAAGTTTACATCATTGCTGTTTTACAATAAATGAAAATTTGGAAAAAAAATGTAAATGCTCAGTAATTGATGGATGACTATACAAACTCTAGTACCTTAATAAAACAAATATGTGAATATTCCCTGTATGTAAATGTTTGTACAAAATAATTTTTTAGAGAGAAATTTTTGCTATAAGGCATGTGTACTCACCAGAGATAGAGAGAGAAAGTGAGAAATCACCCCTGAGGGGAGGACCATGCAGCAATCCCTTCTCCTCCATTTTCCTCTTGGGATTTTTGGGCACCCACACACAGGAACCTGGTGTGAGTTTCAAACGGTCCTGTCTGGGACTCAAACCACAGTTGACCATGTGGGAATTTAGCAACTTAACCACTATGCTATTTGCTGGCCCCCATAACAACTTCATTTATGCAGATAAAATTGTTTTATTCTGAAGCTCAGCAATGTTTAATTAGTAAGTGCTAATTGTTACAAGAAAGTATGGCTTCATATTCTAAAGCCTCAAATCTCCATGGTTGGAAGCTCTTCACCAAGAGTTTGGCCACCCCTCATATGAGTCAACTCATTTCATGGGCTAAGAGGTATATTTTAAATATAGTTTATCATGGAAAATTCATGAAGAATTTAAGAATTTTGTGAAATTTAGAAAATTTTGAAGTTCATTTTATTTCTTCCATGAGTGAAAGAGACCCCCAATAGCATTGTGTGTCACAGCCCACCCCTGCCTTGGCTAGCCCCAGATCACAGTCACACACATGCCCAGTGTACTCACAGAGATCTGAAAGTATACACCTAGAACCCTCCCATGTGGGTCTGCTTCACAGAGCATTCCATTTTATGTCTGTACCACTGTCCAGCCACAGATTTCCTTAGTTTAGTTGTATTTAGGACCAACATGTCATTTGGTTATGCATTCCTTAAAACTTTGGGCTAGTCCAGCTCCATGGCCTAATGGTTAAAGCAGCCAGATCCCACATGGCCTACCAGGCAGTTCAGGTCCCAGACCCAGCGACTCTAGAAACACACTGTTCGTGCAGGTGTGCCCAAAGTCCTGAAAGCAGAAAGAGATGGAGGAGAAAGGAATGCAGTGTGACTATTCTCCATGGGGAGTGCTTTCTCCTCTCTCAAGTCTCTCTGTTTGGCAAGTGTATCACTCTCTAGCATGAAAAAGGAAGAAAAACTATATTGAGCTAAAATTATTTTCTTTTTCCAAACTGTATGCCATACACCACTAGTTATATTAAGTATTATGGGAGGCAAAAGCTTACATGATGAAATAATATTAAAGAAAACAAGGGCAACAATCACGTGACTTAATCACAAGATTCTTCATAGCCTTTAATATGTAATATAATTGGGAATGTCCAAAGTGATGGGGACATAATGTACACATTTAAATTAACTAATTTGATCCTTTAATCATAGAGCATATAATTGCACTGGAATTCTAAAAATCACTTTGGAAGATACAACTCTGTGGTATAAGGATCTGAGATTGTTTTGTTTTTTATTCTGCTTCTGTTTAACTTGCCAAAGGGCACATGCACTCACTGGAGAGAGAGAGGAAGCGAAGGAGGGAGGGAGGAAGAAAGGGAGAGAGTGAGACCTCTCCAACAGAATCTGGTCACACTGCAGTCCCTTTTCCTCCATTTCTCCAGGAGATTCCTGTCAGGATTCCTAGTGAAAGGAACAAAAGTCTCCCAAATGCCTTAAGGAATGGAAAAGGTCAACTCAGTGTCTCTGTGTCTACCTGGCACTGAGTTGATGCAGGACTTGAGCTTTTATTTGCACATTTTCCCCCTGGATTGCAAAGGGATAAAATTGCATTTTTAGTTTCCTCTCTGTCCATCTCCAAACACGAGTGGCATACATAGCCTTCTCTTCAGACATTGTTATAATCATCCTCCTCAACTCTCATAAGACAAAGTCTGCCCAACTCCTAACTCTGTTGATACTGTTAAGGCTAATGGACCTGTCCTATTAAGTAACAGAGATTAACTACACTCCAAGTTTGCTCATCAAAAGCTTAATTTTGAAAAATACTAATGGAGGTTTCCAAGTTAAGATAGATTGAATCCAAATATCTAATTGCTTTTAAAACATATTAAAATGACAGTAAAAGTTTTTCTTATTATTATTGTTTATCATATAGCAATGTGTCCCTTAATGAGCAGGTTGCATTCTGAGAAATACATCACCAGGTGATTTTGTTGCTGTGGGAGTATCACAGAATGTACTTACTCAAACCAAGATGATGCAGCCCACTATAACTAGGCTATGAAGCATAGCCTATATACTCCTTATGGGACTGCTGTCATATATGTTATTGACAAAAACATCATCATGCAGCAATGACTATATTCTGGATTTATGTTATACATGAAAACATCAACTAACCAGGTCAGAAGGGAAACTAGCAACTAAAACATCAGTAACATTTTAGAAAGGAGATAGATAAGAGAGATTTTTTACTAGCTAAAGTCATTAAAACAGTAACTGACAGTAGGGAAA